TCACCCCTAATACCCTAATACTTTGCTTGTATCTCTTTGCTCCCACACTTACTTGGTCGTCGGAATGTCTTGCAGGTACAATCCCTTTTTTTCCTCCTCGACATCATAGCCCGACTGAAGATCATCATCCGGCCACCTTATAGGTTCTGATCAATCAGTAAGATTAATTAGATACTCAAGAAGAGGCATTTCTGGAGATGTCTTACCCTATAAACCGAAATCTTTATTTATATAAATGGTGATGCATTCTAAACCACAAAAATGTGTCGGTGCAACTAGAACCCTCCAAATATGTCGGCAAAATCTCGACCGTTCAAAAAAATTAAATACGTAACCTATCGGAAATTTCAATATAACTCAAATTTCCGGTACTGCTACGTAAATTTGAAATTTCCAGTTTACCAAAATTTTCAAATGCACTATAGAAAATTTACTCTTACCGGAAATTTCGTAGGGGTGTACCAGAAATTTGTTTTGTACTGGAAATTTCTTCCCTTCTACCAAAAATTGTGTTCAGAAATTGTTTATATCTCGTCAAGGGCAAAACTGAAAGAAAATTTTTTTTTGAAGCGGTGACATGTTAATTTCTCAAGCAAAAGGCATCAAAGTATTGTTGTCATTAAGAGTAGGAGAAGGTGTCGAAAGCAACTCAGTTGCATCTCCAGCGAATTATCGTTGCAATAACATCTGGGTGAAAAATCTTTGTCCTGCACTCTTGGCCCCACTGCTATTTTTGTGGGAGAATTTCTTATGGCACCCTATATAGGAGAAAAATAACCCTATGTAAAACCAAAAATTCCCCCCAGAAATGCATTTTCGGGACGCACTTTTTTTTAAAAACATAAGTATGAAATCGAAAATGCAACTACGGGTTAGAACGAGATATGCATTTCTGATTTCTGTATAAACAGTTCAGATCGTGTTTTTATGCAGTTTTTGCTGAATAAATACGTAGTAAAATATGAAAAATATAATAGTACTATAAACAAAATGCAACTAAAACTATCAGACTACTGAGTATGGAGGATAATGAGTCGGTCAATGATATTCGCCATATTCCTCCGCTGCCGTCTGTAACACAGAACCTCCCCAGCCTCCGCCATGATGGCATCTAGAATACCTCTAACATTAGAGTCATCATGAAACGGACCCCTATCAATACCCATCTGCGTGATCTGCATTATACGATGACACCTAGGCAACACATCAGTGGTAAGATCGGCATGTGCCTGCTCCTTCTCTAGAATCTCTGCATGTGCTGGTCTAGGTGGATTACCTGAAGCCTCTTGTACCAGATATGGATGTGACACCTTAAAGAACCATACGATATAGCCATCCTCATAGCTCTAATCTTTTGCTACTATGGTACTCCGGGCCTCATCCGACACGAAATGGTTAAAATAATCATCAACTATGTCATCCGTATCCCTCTATTTCACCATGGGAGGGGCACACTTATAGGGTGGTCTGGGAATATGTTGCATGTATCCGAACTTCTGCGCCATGCGCTCAGGCAAATAAGCAGTCGTCTAGTGCATCCCACATGCTAACCACCCAGTGAACAACACAATATTTCCAAAGGAAATCGTCTAACGATGAGCCTCGTATGCATGGAAGCATATATCCTCATAGGTCAAGCGGTTTATACACACCCTGAATGACTTTGTCGCATGGTTCCCTTGGAGTGGGTCAAATGAAGCGGCACATGTAGGCTCAAGTAACCATCCATATATGTGAGGAAAATGTTGTAGAATTCAGGCCCGAAATATTACTGTTATTAGTAAGTAACGACATCAAAGTAATTTGCATAACAAGACAAAAATAACATAAAAATAGGAAATGTTGTTGTAAAAAGTGTGATGATGTCGGGCATCTCTTTATATTCCACTTAGCACATTTGGATAGATAATGGTACAAATACACCAAACAAGTTGCCCCCTAGTTCCGCTCAAAATTGTTAAAGAATCGCATGTACATGATATCAGTGTAAGTGGCACTAGTGTCCACAAAATTCTGCGTGCCAACTAGATACAAAAGATATGCTCTCATAGTACATGCTTTGTGTTGTGCTACCTGTAGATCGTCACCAACAGCCTGTCGTGCACGCCCTAGCTCAGTTGTGAACACCTTTTGCAAGTAGCTAAATCTGACATGACACCCACAAATTTTGTCGATCTCAGCCAGAGCACTCTCTGGAGTAACTCCTAAGTACTCCACCAACATATCCAATGCCTACTCTTCAGTGCACTTCTCATGATCTAAAAACCTCCATCTAATCGGAAGATGCAACAGACACGCAACATCGTCTAATGTGATTGTCATCTCACCATGTGGTACGTGGAACGACGATATCTCGTAACGCCATCTCTCAACAAAAATGTTAATCATACCATCATTAATAGTAGTATATCCACGTAAGACCAAATCATATAACTCAGTGATGTGCACCAGCTCTCGGAACCATGGCTCGACGGGTGGTACCAGGCGAATGATTTTCCTAACATGGTTAATTATCTTGAGAAGATCACGGTCCTACATGCGTAGATAAACACCCAATATATAAATGAACATAATACTTAACAAAAAAAAAGTAACACAATACGTAACTATTGTTAAATAAAATATTTACCTTTTTGTCCCATAAGTGTCTAGCAATATGGTCCAGATACAACGTTAGTAATGAAAAATCAGAAAATCCTTCTCCAAAGGCCTGAAGTGCCTCTGCTGCTGCCTATGGATGGACCTCTGATGCTACCTCTGGATGGGCCTCCGGTGCAGACTGGGTGACATCTGGTGTTTGTTGGGTAGAAGTGGCCTCTGGTGTCTGCCGGATAGAAATCGGTGTAGACTGGGTGGAAGCATGTGTTAGTTGGGATGAAGAAGACTCTTCTGTCTCAAAGACCATAGGGCGCCCGTTAAAGAAAGGAGGTGGAGAGATATGGACTGAATGTGGTGTAGCCTGTGAGTGAGATTCAGATGTCTCTGCTGGTCCGGATACCTGCGGTGAGAATATACGTCTGCGGGAGGACAAAGGCGAAGATGGATGGACAGAAGACTCTCGCCTACTGATCGACGGAGTGGAAGTATCCGACACAGCTGGCCTAAGAGCCTGAAATGACTGAGTCATTTCCCTACGCACGAAAGCATGATGTGAAAGTCTCACGTGTCACAATATGGATTGCCTCTCAGTCATAAGACCTGTAGAATAAATGAATAAAATATTAAACAATCACTCTTGAACAAAAAATAGGGTAAAAACTGTCTGCTGCAAAACCGGATGTATACTTTCGATTTTGGTGAAGAACAAAACTGGAAATACAGTTCCGATATGACCTGCAACTTAACAGTTACGTCAATGGAGAAGCTGACGGCCAATGAGGACAAAAAAAAAGACATTGATCATCAAAAAGACATGACTAACACTTCTATATTGACTTCAAACATTGCAAGAACTAAAAAAAACTACATTTTAATACCCTAAAACACAATTTGTATGTTAAAAAAAAAACTCAATAATGCTCAAAAATAATTAACAATGATTGATTCTCCTTGGTTAATTCCAATTATGCCTGATGTGTTGCTTATGTGGTACGATAAATTGATAGATTTTGAAAAATGAGTATTTTAAAACAATGGATTTTTGGGGTTTTTTTTGTTTTGTTTCTGTTTGAAGCAAATGAGGAAGAGAAAGAGATAACGCGGATATATGTCAAAAGACAAATCGAATATACTTACGGTGTTATATTTTCGATTCGTATCAACGTGGTAGGGTGTAACCTCTCACGGTGTTTTTTTTTTTAAATTTCATTTAGAGTAACCGAAAATACATTGATTTAGTAACCGTAAATATACTTCTGGTTTGTATAATTTTTTCATATAATAAAGTGCGCACTGGAGATACATTTCCGATTCCTGAGAGTATTTTTGAAATTTCACGCTGGTGCCTAAGAAACAGATAGGATGCATTAAGAAATTATCTTCTTATGACACCGACTTTGTTGTTGAAGAAGGATCAAACCAACATTGGGGTGATTTTGCTAGGTATCTTAACGGGTATAATGAAAAAAAAAGGTTACATAACTGCAGCTCCTCAGTGTTCATCTCCTGATGCTTGGATGGGAAATTCCCTTGCAACAAGTCTTTTTTATTATGCGTGGATACAATTTTACAATAACCCTCCTTGCCAATACAATCCTGGTGAAATTAGCAACCTTGTAAATGCATGGAAACAGTGGATACCAGGTATCTCTGCAAACAAGATTTCTTGAAATCTCTCTCACAAAAGCAAGCTACTTCAGAGATTTCAACTTTAGAAAACCTAAATTCATTATTTATGTAATAGAATAATTGTTATTATCATCTAAAACTCAATTACTTGTTCAGGAGTTACATATCAATACTGCTACGAAAAGAAAATCATGACCAAAAAACAATAACCAACTAAACTAAATGAATTCAATTGCACTAAAAAAACTGAATAGTTCAAATCAATTTTCATACTGATATGTTTCTTTTTCTTTTAATAGATCCAATATATAATTTAAACATACATATGCCATAAGAGCATATAATGAATAATATATATATATATATATATATATATATATATATATATATATATATATATATATATATATATATATATATATATATATATATATATATATATATATATATATATATATATATATATATATATATATATATATATATATATATATATATATATATATGTGTGTGTAGAAAAATAAAAATACAACAAAAGTTCAGCATGAGAGAATCCACTCTTCTAGCGAACTTGTTCTTTTCCTTGTTGCACAAGCTACCCCGCTGAGGTAGCCTGTGTCTTATAGTAAGTATACCTCAAATAACTTCAATCCACTATTATTATGTGATATTAAAAGCACCGCTTATTTTTATTTTTTTGGGTGAATCACCGCTTATTTTTTCCACCAAAAGTTAAAACCACTCTTCTGAAATTTCAAGGATAACGAGCACTTCTATGCCATGCCCGTCTTCCATTTTAAGTATCTTTCTACAACGTCTAGTCCACTAAGTTCCTTTACCACAGGCATGGTTGCAGGGACCCCCAAGTGAAATGTTGAATCTGATTCATCCATGTCGCTCCATGAAAGAAGCTGTTTCCTTGCTTCTTTGATAGCTGCTCTTGTGGCACAGTGAACCGAAGCTGCTAGAAGCAGGGGTGGCTCGCCAGAAGCTGCAACACAAATTTCATTTAATTTTTCAATTAATAATTATAAACTAGTAAATCCCATTTAGTGAGAGAAGGTTTTAACTGCTGTAATTGAGAATTTCAAACTGGAATACATGAAGCTTTCTCAACTTCATTAACTCACAAAAATAACATGAGCTGCAACATGCTTACAAGTTACAACCAACAATCCATTTTCTGATACTTCTGTTCCGATAAAATTGATTCGATAATTGCTATTGAACTCTCTATTTCAAATATAAGTGATATAAAACTATGTGGACAAAGTATTAAAAAGTAATTTTACACGTCTAAACTAAAAAATAAAGTGTTACTTTGAACATATCTATTTGTTATGCATGTACAAAATAATCATCCTTGATTTGTTAGTTAATCAATGATAACATGAAGACATAATTTAATGCATAGCCATAAGTATAAGAACTTGATCCATACCCTTTGAGGAAAGCACGCGGTGCTGGTGATGCCCACTGTTGAGAATTTGAACATTAAACTGTTGAGGGATAGTGTCTACTGTAGGGATTTTGTAGTTCCAAGTGCCGTCTGCCAACGACATACCATTAAGGTCTGTTTCATATTCTTCAAGCATGAAGAACCCCAATCCCTGGACAAAAGCTCCTTCAATCTGCAGGGTGGCATCATATTGTTATTAGCTGATTCAGGAAAACAGACCAAACAAATCCACAGTGTTTGGTTCAAAGGAGGGTACAAAAAATAGCCCGCCCTCTTCTAGATTGGTTTGCTAGGGGAGAGAAGAAAAAATAAATTTCTTTCCTTTTCCCAACGAAGGTTGTGATTAGGAAAAAGGTATTAATTGGACGTTGAATTTCTAAAACATCAATATTTTTGAAACAAAAATAGATGGCTGAAATATCAATAGTTACAGAAAAGACGCAGTAAAAAAAATATTGTTAGGCCTCCAACTCTTATGTTAAGATAGTCCTTGATTATGGCTGAGCCAGTAAAGCAAGCATTAAGTTAGCGTACCTGTCCTAAATCCACAGCAGGATTGAGACTTTGTCCACAATCATAGATGATATCTGTTTGAAGGAACCTGGTTCCTCCGGTCAGAAGATCTATTTCCACCTGAGATATAATATCCATTATTTAGAACACAAATACATTCAATAGAAATAGCTTTCAATTATGCATTCAGGTTTGAGATGTGCATAAGAAAACACACCTCACTTACTGCAGCACCATAATTAAGGTACATTGTCGAGTTATTGCTGGGTACGTAAAGTGAAGATGCTGATAAGTTTACAGATTGCATGTATGCCTGTAGATTGATAAATAGTCAGCAACATAAAATAAAAATATATATATATTCGCGAGCTAGAAAAAGAAGAAAAATAATTATCTGCCCTCAAGTTCATTGCCACACTTAGTCTCTGAATATTTTCCTGAATAAAAGGGGTTAATTATTCTACCATAAATTGTGAACATGCTAAGTGCCACCTTCCACATACTACAAGACCTTAACAGGAAAAGGCTGAGACAATATAAATGCTAAGGTGTATCGCATGCACAATTATAAATACTATAATACATTCATCAGTATGAAATGAAAAATACAAGTTTCTAGAACTTGCCGCTGACAGCAGTAAAATTTGAACATAAATAGTTTTTCTGTATAGATCATAAAGAGAGAAAACAGAAAAAGTGCCACTTCCATCAGGTTACGCTCATGATTAGGACGTTCTCGGAACTTGCTCGAGAGAAAAATCTATCGATATTTGAAATTAAGCTCTATTAGTAAATAATGATGTAGTTACCTGAAGAATAAGTGTCTCCCACTTGATAGAGCCCATTTCTTTCTGCAGCTTTTCCTTGAGAGGCTTCAACCTCTCAACCAAGGTATCACAGCTAAGCCTAACTGCTTCACAGCATGTCTCTGATGTGGTGCTCCCAGCAGTGAACCCCCCTTGAGTCAAGCTCACTGTATCAGCTTGTAGAACCCTTATTTTATCCAAGAGATTTTCAGTTTCATCACATTGAATTGTACCGAGGGCAAATGCAGCCATCTGTTTCACCTTTGTCCATAGACCCTGACCCAGTTCAATTCCTCCAACTTCAACAACAACAGACCCATCCAACAAAATACTTACTTTTCCAGGAGTTGGTCTTAGAGACAGTTGATACACAACTGGTACTCGGGAAATTCCCCTTTTTCTCCATATACTAATTCTGTTAAACTCTTTCACCATTTCGGTTCTTTGTTCATAATTAGCAGAAACAGCTAACTTACTCCATATTGAAGGCAATGTATACTCAAAAGGTTCGCCACAACAATGATCATAGAATGACTGAAGACTTTTATGTGTGTGAAGATTTATGCTTCTGACAGAATCTACATCCATTGAAAGTGTAGCTGCAACATTTTCTATAACATGTTCAGCAATAAATGATCCCTGCAGTTCTCCAGGGCCCCTCATTGCAGATCTACTAGGAAGATTTGTTCGGCATATCTTTATATCAAAAGATAATGCACCCCAGTCATACTTTTTTAGTGCACCAACTATGTTATGTGGCATTGTTGCACTTATATCCATATATATACCAGCATTGACCAATATCTCAAGCTCAAATGCAGTAATTTTCCCATCATTCTTAAACCCGACATTGTATGTAATCTTCATGGGATGCCTTCCTCCAGCCAATATCATATCGGTCTTTCGATTCATATACATCCTGACAGGGCGACATAATTTCTGTGCTGCGAGTGCACAAGATGTAGCAGTCTGCATGATATGGTATGGTTGTCAGTACTTGGGATATATTTGTATGTGTACATAGTTTTCATGCATAACTGCTACTAATAAATACTCCCTCCATTCCCTTAAAAATGACAAGTAAATAGTAACAAAATATTACTACAAAAGTGACAAGTAAAAAGGTACCGAGGAGTAATTTCTACTATCTCTAATATGAAGTAGAAAAAGTGAGAGGCTAAAATACTAAATGTATTGGAACAATTAGGAAATGAAAATGACAAAAGTTCAAAAACATTTTATACCAATTCAAATCTCTTGCATTGGCGTTTAGTATCATGCAAAGCACAATGTAGCTCATATGTATAGCAAGTACTCAAAAGAAGCAATTGATAACCACTCCTAAATGAGAATCTTCACTCATGAACATGAAAGACTAACAAAACGCACTTTCACAAGCACCCGTGTGACTCTTTGAAAACCTCCAACTGAATTATTTGTTTGTTTTATTTATGTTCTCCTTATAGTTTGAGTTTAAATTCAAATGGTATCTTAAATTTATTTTCTTCATTATCTTTTAATATTAGTGACTTCTCCAAACTACAGGAAATTCAAGAGTCAATGTTTACACAATGCAACACTTATTAGTCAACGGTACTTAAAAAGTGAAAAAGATTTAACAATTTTTTAGAAAATTAATACACAGCATAATACTTACAGATATTGCTTTTATGGCCTTTCCTCCAAAACCTCCCCCAACCCTTCTTGTAATTACTCGTACATTACTTTCAGGAATACCAAGGCATCTTGCTATAGTAGAATGAGTAAACTCAGGGCATTGACTTGAAGAGTAAACTGTAATGCAATTGTCTTCGTCCGGCACAGCAAGTGCAGTTTGTGTCTCCATATAGAAATAGTATTGAGATCCTAGTTTCAACTGGATTTCAACATTGAATGAATAAGTTTGACCACTATGAATCCATTTCAATGTAACTTATACAGAAGCAAAGTTGTGAAATGAGAGCACGCGGGGAAAGAAAGGAGAACGATGAATATATTCCATGTACCTCGGCAGAAAGAATCTTGTGATCAGCTTCAGCCATTCCTTTTGATATATCACCAACATGTTTTGGGTAGATAAAAGGAGGAACTTCAAAAAAGCTTGATCTTTTAACGGCATCTTCAACAGATAGAATAGGTGGTTCAAGATTTTCAGTATCATAATTGACAATGGTAGAGTTTGCTGCCATATCTGCAAGTTTCTGACTATCTGCAACCTAAAAATTCATTAGTGAGTGATAAGGTAGTGTGTCACACACCAATCTCCAAAGAAATGAGAAATAATCTCATAAATTGTTGGATCAGCAAAATAAGTGGTTTAAGAACTCACCACAAAGGCCAGACGATCGCCAACACACCTGGCTATCTCTTCTGCAAATAAAGGTTCTGAGCCAAATACTGTCTTAGCTCCAATGTTTTCCCCACCACTGGGAATGTCTTTACTTGAAATGACATCTCTTACTCCATCCAGCAGCAATTCAGAGCTGAGTTTTATACTCCTTACCCTTGCCAAAGGTTTTGAACTATATATATATGCTCCATGTAGGCAATTTGGCGGCGAAGGAATGTCATCTACAAACACAGCCTCACCTGTATACAATTCATCATGAATATTTGATTACTTGACCCGAATTAAAACAATTATTTATGAAAAGTCATATTTGAAAAGCACCAAATCAGAATAAAATAGGCACCAGGGCTAATCCTCTAGCAAATGGAACTTTAGACTAATAAAATACCAAATTGCGTCATGTATTTAACTTCACTACGAAAAATTGATAGAAATGCAAAGAGATAAAGAAAATAAATTCTATAAATCAGTCAGTAAATTAATTCTAATGTAGATGGCGTAAAACAAACCTGAAGCTTGTAGCGCAGCTCCTGATTTAGTGATTGATTTTCCAATGGGGTGATATTCATTTCCTGCTTCAAGGACTTGCTTCCCAGATGACAATAAAGTTGGAGTTTTGTCATGATGAACCTGCTTCTCTTTTAGATCAAAATCCTTCACAATTGGAATATTAGAATATCCATTTGAGAAGTTGGTTGCTCCCGCAGAAATTTCAATTAGAAGGTTAAAGAACTGAAAAACAAAACTAGCTGCCAAACTTGAACGGTATACAGTTTTTGAGTTTTCATCTTTAGGTACAATAGTGGATGTAAGCAAGTTGATGGCTTCATACAGAATGCTAAAACTTAACATCTTTCCTGTTAAAAATTCCTCAACATTTTTTGCTCTGATTGCATGCTCATTCCCATAAGCACCAAAAGACAGCCTACAAGTGTCTATCATGAATCCACCAGAATCCTTGCTAGGAGACACCTCAACAAGGAAAGCGGCATTTAAGTATGGAAGGGCGTTTCCAAGCGGTCTAGGAGAAGCTCGGTAAGTTTCAAAGTAGAATCTACTTCTTTTTTCTGAAGATGTACTTCTAATAGTTTCCAAACTTGGAATTTTAATACTTAAAAGTACACTTTCCAAACTTAATGGCGGTCTTTCCAAAAATTCCTCCAATGTTAGCCATTCAAACTGTGTGCCACTCATTATATGAACCATCGAATCCACAGCAAGAAGTACAGTAGCAATATCTGAGGGAAAATTGTTCTTTTGTGCCATAATTAAATTTCCACCTACACTGGCCGTGTTTCGAATAAACCCCGAAGCAACTTTTCCAATATGGTCAGCAATCTTTTCAAGTATCATTACAAAGTCGGAGATAAAGTCACTCTTGCTTTGCTGCTTTAGTACTTCAATAGCTTTAGATATGGTCACTGCTGCTCCAATTTCAACCCCCCATTGATCCTTTCTGATCTTTGAGAGCTCAGAAATGCCCATTAGATCAATATACTTATCATATCGTTCTTTATCTTTGTAATATCCCATACCAGTATTATTAGCAACAACTTTTATCCTGGTTCCATTGGCATGATTTAATTTCAATAAGTTCTGAAGCTCCTCTAAACTAGTAGGTTTGTGCCAACTGTTTCCCTTAGAAGCCAACAACAAATCATGTTTAATATCCTTCAGAAACAAAGGAAATTTGATGTTCTTGTGATGACTGTCATATTGAGGCAACCTACTAATCTTCAAGTCCTTGCTCTCTCCCTTTCTCCAGAAAGAGTTCAACCCTAAATCCTCCATATCAACATCAGCTGCGAAACTTTTGCAGGCATCAGCAATTGGCCGGTAACCAGTGCAGCGACAAAGGTTCCCTGCAATAGCCTTTTCAGCCTCAAAACCAGTAACTTTGGAGAATCCAGAAGGTGGCTCTGGACAATTATTCTTTTCAGCATTGACAAGAGCCCCAAAGAGGGAAACACACATTCCAGGAGTACAAAAGCCACATTGAGAAGCATGGAATCCAGCAAATCTTTCATGAATTGGATGGAATCCTTGTTTGCTATTTCCAATGCCTTCACTTGTTGTTATTGAGCATCCATGTATGCTACAAAGTAGTGTGAGACAAGAGCTAGCGGTGAAATCTTCAACTCTGTCAAGCAAAGGATCATACTTGGATATTATAACTACACAAGCACCACAACCACCTGCGTGAAGTTCCAAGTTTAAAAAAATTGAGCACTATTTATTGCTTTTTAAAAGTAGACACCTTTCTTTTTCTTGACAAAACCATCAGCAAAACAAAAAGTAGTAATAATAACAAGAGGAGGCACAATTTTCTTTTTCTCAAATTATAGCAGAATCCCACACTGACGATTTGGTTTGCGGAAATGTGATTATTCATTTCATACGCAGTATAAATTTCACGCCGATGTCCATATACAATGAAAGAAAAGTGAGACTTCTCCTAGCATCACTTACCTGTTCTATATTTTTTTTTGGGTTACAACCTGTTCTAATGTTCAACAACCACCTTCCAATTCAATTGAATACGTAAAAATTCGTAGCAATGCTTGGTTTATCATCACTTCCTTCACGGGAAGCTTGCTCTGCTGCAAAATCATTATTGCCAAGCTTGTAGAATATATTTGATACCAAAACTATTGGCCGCACCGAGTTGCAAAACAATCAGCAACAGAATTCCCATAGAACCAAAATAATTTTTTATAAGATGAAGGATCAAAACGAATTCTGAGTCAAAAATGAAGAACAAAAAGTTTGTTTTAGCCCATCTTTAAAATATGAACAACAAAATTATTGATATAGCTGAAGGATAAGGACAATAGGAACCAATACAGACTTGTCAGTCCATAGGCCCTAAACCTATGGTAAGAGTAATCGAAATTTTAAAAAGTTATACAATACTTCTATTAACTTTGCTTTTGAATATGTTCTTTTTCAACGAACAATCAAACATAAACATATCACAAATAATGAAATCTTTCAACTCTGAACACTAATTTTTTATTTAATACAACCCTTTAAAGTGTATCTCCCAGTTTATTAGAACCAAACGCTGTTGCTTCTTAGCATTATAATAAAAAGTGTATTGTTGGAACTCCGTGTTGGTGTTGGTTGAAAAAATATACCAATGAAAGAACTCTCACATTTCTTAGTTTTGTAAAGGAAGAAGTTTTCTCTAATTTTGGAGTTTCCACGTTAATGTCTTTATATTGTAATTGTGTTTTTTATTTTGTTTTCTCATTGCTAGTTGAATCAGTCCTTACAAGTTCTGACTTCAATTAGACCTCCTTTGACTTCAATTAGACCTCCCCTGGTGAACGAGGGGACTGGTTCCCTAGATTAGTCGGTCCAAAGACCAGATACCACATTTTCAAAAAATAATATAATAAAGTATATTAATAATCCACTCGGAAACAGGGTTTCATAAAACGGTCCGTAGCTGCAAAAACGACCGTGACAAAACACAGATACAAAATGACCGCGACAAAATGGTATTGGATATGGATACCAGTATTCACCGTTTTATGTTAAAAAACAAACTGTAGTTAATTCACACTGCGATGATTGCAATAAATGTCGCGACACCTATACCGGCGGAAATCGCAAAAGAGACCGTTTTATAAACCTTACTCTGGAAGTGAAAAATAATTCCAATTAAATAAAAAATCATTCAGGATTTCAGCAAGCTAACATTCAGATTCATAATATGATACTAACCATATCTAAACATAAAGAAAGTACACTTGATTAAAACCAGTATCACACTCATTTAAGCTTCAAAAAATACAAATCCAAACGCATACGATTAAGTCAGTAAATCAAGCTTATTCAAATTAAAATTAACGATCAAAATCCATAACAATAATGATTATAATATACCTTCACCGCAACCGAGTTTAACACTCTTGAATCGAGTTTGAGTACGCAAGAACTCAAGCAAAGTGGTTGATGAATCAACGCTGGATAGCTCAAACTTTTCGCCATTGATAACGAAAACCAAACTTGTTTGATTCTCACTCATCTTCACTTCCACAGTTCAATAACTGATTTTCAGTTTCACAGAAATACGAGTTAGAACGTATCTGCACACTATTTATATTCGCTTGTAGCGTAGTAATCGCTTAACGACAGAATAAGAAGAAAAAAGTGATTTTAATTAAAGCTTTGAATTTTGAAAGCTTTGAATAATTAAGTGAATTTGAGAGTTGGAAAAGTGGAACATTTGATGATGTGCTTTCTTGCCGCCTTAAGCGATTGTTTACAGCGAGACGTTCTTTGTTCTTTGTACTTTTTAGACTAAAAATAACTTTTGCAATAATTTAAGATTTTTATTTTCATTTTGACATTATATCACATCACATAAATATAAATTAATAAATATATATTATTGAAGATTAAAATATAATAAAATTAATTTTTTTCAAAAATTATTATTTTAAAAATTATTTTTATGAATATTTATTTAAAATAGTTTCATATTTAAGTAATTTTTTATATTTTAATATTTTAAAAATTATAAAAAAAATGATGAAATAGTTAAGAATTTTTTAAGCAATAACCATGTTTTTAAAAAAAAAATACACAAATAATCATGTTTTGGAGAAAATTACACAAATAATCATGTTTCAAAAAACGTTATAATGCAGTAGTTATTTCAGATGGTGCATGCATTGCTTTTTTTAAAGGAGGCGCCAAATGAGATGGTGTTTAGGTGCATGTCATTTGCCCTAAGTCATCTCAGATGGTGCTTATGTACAAATTACTTTTTTTTTATTTTATTCTGTTAAGAAATTAAAAGGCAATGTCGTTGGAAATGAAAGTTGATTTTCAATAATAATTAAACGATTACATAATAAGAATAAAAATTACACATTATTTAGTTGTCTCCAGGGACTCGATAACAACCCGTAGTTCTGCACCCGTGTCCTCGCCTAACTCGTGGTGCATTTCGACGTATTTCTTGTTGCGGTTGGATCGAGGGCCCTGCGAAGTCAATGCATTCAGAATCTATGAAATTCGTTTGATCATCATATTTGAAAGACCCACTTTCAAACAGTCGTTTACCCATGCCCTCAAAGTTTGGTCGTATTAGTTGGGGGTGAGGTTCCATGGGAGTCGATAGCACTGATCATCTGAATAAGGGGGATAAAAAGGAAATGAATCTTGTAGAGTTTGGTATTGTGATTGTTGGTGCTATGGTGATATGATGGTTGATGGTAAGTTGGGTTGGTTGGTGAATATTCTTCAGGTTGGCCAATGTTTGGGCTAAGGTGAGACGACGAGGGGTCCACATCAGAATGTCGAATGTATGTGTCATACCCAAAATGCGTTTGTCCTTTATTTCTACTATAAAAAATGTTCTTAAACATTGGTTTTATAAATATTTCTTGAATTTTATAAATATTCGCTTCCAAACCTATTTAAAAATACAATAATTTATTTCAAGATTATTTGTATTTTTGAATAAACAAATATTTGCTCGTATTCATGTACTTTCAATTGGCTTTTTATTTTGAATAAGTAACATAGCACATTTGGTAAGGAATGAAACTTGCAAGTATGAGGTCGTGAGTTCAAAACTTGTGTGTGGCACTTTTAAATATTTTTTCTTATTTTTACTAATTTTTTCCCTTTTTTGGAGATCAAACTTTGGGCTTTCTTTTGGGCTTTTAGATAACTTAGTCTCCAAGTCTTTTTTTAACCTAATTCACTCTATAAATAGGACTATTGTTGTCCTAGTTTTTCACACACAATTCATCAAGAATTTCATGATTTCACACATATCCACAATTTCACAATTCCATACACCCACGAATTCTACGATACTACACACTTCTTTTCAAATTTTCTTTTCAAAAACTTTTGGTGTTATATTTTTATTAGTCGAGGATTTCATATGAGACCTCCCTTCTATTTTTAATTTTCAATTTTATTTTAATTTATTTGTTATTTTGACCAGATGATGAATCTTTGGTGGTCACTTTTTTAATTCTATTTTATATTCTCTTTGTATATTGTGTTCTAGATTCTTGTTGATGGAAGGTGTTTGCAAATAAACATAGAAGAATTCATTCACAATTTTCACACGTATATACACTTCTAACACTAAGTCAACCTTTCTTTTTTGGTTCACATCGTAAGACCTTATTTTTGGCTAGACACTAGATTTTATACTTTGTACATACTATTAACATCGTTGTTACAGTGGAAAATATTTTGACTTTTCAACACACACAATTTGTCATAACACTCACAAACTACCTTTGTCAAGTACCAAATCACAAACTACCAACACTGTACCTCAAAGTACAATTTTCTCCAAAAAATTCCAAAGCCTTCTTTTTTGGTCTTGCATGTACACAAACACTTTTTTTTTACTTTCGACGTTGTCTCAACAAAATACATAACATAGCCTCTCTTTTTTTTCTCTGCAACTTAAACCTTAACCATGTCAAGTCATTATGCAGTAGAAACAACAACACCCAACTATCAACCTCACATTCAATTTTGATCTAACACAAAACCATCCTCCAAGTTTAGACAAGAACCTGCATAAAAGGATAGAACGATTTTCATTCAATAATAACCATATTTTGTTTTTATTCTCTTTTATATCGCAATGTTTGAAATATGTGTGTTGTACCCCAAAATTTTCTCTCTTATTTCACAAGGGATCACCCTGGATCCCAAGTTTGCTTTCATCTATTTTCAAGCCTTGAATTATCAATTTTCAAATAAAGTCATCCGCAAGTGCAAAATGGTCATTTGCACACTAAAAAATCAAACTTTGACTTTTGGACCAAAACCAAATTCCAAGAATCATATATCTTCAAGACATGTTGAAATATGAAGTTTGTTTCATCTAGAGATTCAAAAGTCAAAACTACTTTGAAAAAGTTAAAATTCTAAACACTTGGAATTTCCCTAAGCGTTTAAGAAACATGACAAACTCAGAACTTCTGACCAGATTATCACCATAACGCTCAGCAAATTCTGGATATTCTCAAGGCAGAGTTTGGTCAGAACTTCTGAGCAAGTTTTCACAAAAGTTCAGTCAGAGTTTGCCAGGATAGTTCAAAGAAGGTTAAGAAGCGTGCTACAAGCTTTCTAGAAAGTCTGGAAGCTCCTTCAGAACATGCTGGAGCCAGAAGATACAAAGATCAGAGGTTGGATGCTACGCTGAAGCAGAACTTCTGATCCAGAACTAAGTCTTGGTGTAGAATCTCACGTTGCAGGATTTTTGGTTGTGATAAGTCTCATTGTCATTAATGCTTACAACCACTTTCTGAGTATTTATCCAAAGGATTTTTACCACGTGTACCTCTACTGTCTTGGGATAGCAAACTTTGGTACTAGGCCCATGCTTTGTTTTGCTTTTCCTTAAATCCTGCTTAAAACTCCAGCTTAAGCATGGTTAAAAGCTACTAATCAGCAGCTAGTTCAGCCTATGCATGCATCCCATAATTGCACCAAACTAGCATACGAAAACAGTGATGAAAAAGCAAGGGAGTAGGATGCCAAATTGATTTAAAATCCAATTTGTCTTTCCCCCCAAAATCACAACAAATTCACCTATAAATACTTTGCTTCATCACACGTTCAAGTGGCTGGGCTTTGAAGGAGAGGCCGGGCTTTGAAGGAAGGGTTGGCTTTGGAAGAGAGATTGGTAAAAAAGGGAGAAAAAAAAGGAATTTGAAACCTTCATAAAAAATCCAGAAATCCCAAACAGAAAACCAAACCTTTGTTCTTCCTTTTGAATCAAAGAGCTTGGTACTTCCTCTTCCGTTACTCTTGCTGATTCCAGAACATCCAAAGGTAACAGCTCAAAGCTCCAAGCCCACGTTACAGGTTCAAGATAAGTCTTTCTGACTTTACATCTTGTCATTCAGAACATCATTAAATATGTAAATATCATAGTATTGATTTCGTCCATATTGTGATACGGTGGGAGAACTGACTTGGGTTTTGCGTTTGTTTTCGCAAATGTTTCGGTTTAGCAAGAGTCGCCACCGACTTTTTATTTTATCCTACGGAAAGGTTAAAAAGCACAGAAAAAACCTTTTGAGATGTTTCGTGGGTTCGGAGGGTAGATTATGAAAAGGGAAGGTATTAGAACCCTTTTCATCCATGGTTATCCATGAGCTCTTAGTTACTTGTTTAGATCACTTTTCTTGATTTTCAATTGCTTGAAATGGTGGTGTGTGTGTGTGTGTTTTTGAAAATGTTTTAAAAAAGATGCCTTTTCTAGGCAACCATTGAAATGACTCTTGTTTGAGTATATGCAAAGGTGTTTGTCTTTTTGAAAAGATATTTCAAATGTTTTTGGAAGTTGTTTTTGAAAGTGTTTGTGGAGTGAGTTTTGAAAAGTAGGCAAGTGTTTTTGCAAGTTGATCAAGTAACTAAGAGTTGTCTACCCCTAAATTTACTCAAAGGTTTTTCTCATGTTTTAACCCTTTTAACAATTTTGTTCCACCATTGTATTTGATGGACAATCTTGTATTAGGATGTTAACGGGACAGGCGCGGGTCATCGTATGGACCATGAATGCAATGGTGCCAAGTGTCTTTGGCAATTTGCTTGAAGGGACTATGATCATTTTGATAGGCAACTTACGAAAGCGTCATCGAGGGACTATGATCATTTGAATTGTTTTGCCAAAGATACTTAACGTGCAAGCATGGCCCATTTTGGAAGGCAACGAGTGGGATTACCCTAGGGGTGCAAGTGTGAATGGTGTATTGATTTCATGCATTTGTCTTTGTATTAGGTTATCTAGCGTTTGATTTTATTTACATACAAACCCTAGGTCTAACCATGGTATATTTGAAAGCGGTAAATTGTGAGAATTTAAAGTCTATGCTATTACAAATAAGTATCCGGGAGTGGGGGTACAAATGTTTACAAATGGGGATGAGACTTATTAGGAGAGTAGTGTCCAAATAAATTTACAACCAAATCGAATTGCAATCTCAAACGTAATATGTATCAATGTATAAGAATAAGCAAATGTATAAGAGCAAT